TCGTTCCCCATGTTGGCTCGGGAATTCTGGGAGTTGAAGTCCACAAGCCATGAAGGGCTGGGGTCCCTCACCCTTGTTTCTACAGAGAGTCTCAGCAGATATGAAAAGAGGGGGAGGGGATTGACGAGCCTAGAAGAGGCCAAGTTAACAGAGGTTTGAGCTGGAGGATCTCTGCGGGCGTCCTCATCTTCCTCTTCTCCCTTCTCTGAGGCAGATCTTCCTGGACTGGTATGAGAAGTTCCAGGATCAGCTTCTCAAAGTCGTCCTCCTGACGGGGGAGACCAGCACGGACCTGAAGCTGCTGGGGAAGGGCAACATCATCATCAGCACCCCGGAAAAGTGGGACATCCTGTCCCGGCGATGGAAGCAGCGCAAAAATGTACAGAACGTCAACCTCTTCATTGTGGACGAAGTCCACCTCATTGGCGGCGAGAACGGGGTGAGAAATCACTTGTTTTGAAGGGAGCGAGCAGGGCACGGCTTCCTTTTGCCCCGTTCTTCCCTGGAGCATTGCTAGTGGGACAAATCACTTTAATCCCTTTCTTGCTGGTGGGAAAATCACTTAACTACGAGCCCGCTAGGGTGACTTGCACCTCAGTTCCTCAGGTGCATTTGTGAGTATTTATGACTCCAGTAGACTTTGACTCTATTTATCATCAAAGTTAATTAGTTGGAAGAAAGAGCTCTCCAAACTCCAGGTATTTTTTGCCATTGTAGACTAATATGTCTCTGCTCCAACATCCTGCATACCACAGTTTTAATCCCAGCAATAAATTTTGCCCCCTCATAAATCATGTCTGGATTATAAAACAGGAGCTGTAGAATTGTAACTGGGGACAAATCATACTGAACCCTTAATGGAATTACGGGTCTATGGAAGTAGGTAAGTAGTAGGATCCCCCAAGGTTCTACCTTAAACCATGGACTGTTCATAAACAATTTAGATGAGGCGATAGAAGGGGAACGCCTCAAATTTGCAGACAACATTAAACTGGCAGGAACAGCCAACACCCCGGAAGGTTGGCTTAAGGTCCAGATGGCTCTCCAGAGACTAGAACACTGGGCCTTTTATAACAAAATGAAATTCAGTGACAAGAAAAATAAGGTTTTACGCTTAAGGCAAGAAAAGCCAAACACAGAGGTATGGAATAGATAGAACCTGTGTCAGGGCTCTGGCAGTTACTCTCCATTTAAATCATGAGTCTCGAGCCAAACTTCCAAAACTTAAAAGGGATTTATTAGGAGTAAACATGCCAACACTGTCTGGGTGTAGCCGACTCTGAGACACGTCTTTCATTGTCACCCTTGACCCTGGTTTTCCCCTCACCCCCTGGGCGTATCGTAATCCATATTCTCCAATGGGACACCTCCATAGCCCAGAGTCATCAATCATGCTCTCCAGTTGGAATTTTGCAAGGCAGAAACTTCGGTCACCTAGTTACTATCTTTGAAAACATTTATGGAACGCCAGCTGCCTACTGCTCCCCCCTCCCTTTCTGTTGGCAACTCTAAAAAGACCAGAGAAATATTTTATGAGTTGACAGCCTGGCTCAATAGTGGCAACTGTCAGGGGGAAACTGGGTGTCCCTGACTCAACTTTGCTTTCATTTCACAGCCAGTCCTGGAGGTGATCTGTTCCCGAATGCGCTACATCTCCTCCCAGATCGAGCGGCCCATCCGCATTGTGGCTCTCAGCTCGTCCTTGTCCAATGCCAAGGATGTGGCCCATTGGCTCGGTTGCAGTGCTACGGCCACCTTCAATTTCCACCCCAATGTGCGCCCTGTACCTCTGGAGCTCCACATCCAGGTAAGCCTCCCGCTCTTTCCAACGGGCAGCTCCGGCCAGGCGGAGGCCCTCCTGCCAATCGATCCATTGCTCGATTTACCTCCGGGGTCACCGTCATCGACTGACAGAAGGTTGGTGTGGTGACCCAGGGCACGGCACGGCGATAACACAGGCAGCTCCAAATTCCCCCAAAGGCTCCCAAGTCCCAGAGCAAAGTGAGGACAAACACACACACACACACACACACACACACACACACACACACACCTCAATCAGCCTCTGGCTGCAAATAGTCCAGCCCAACGCTGTGAACACCACAGCTGCATAAATCCAGCAGGGCAAGTTGGAGAATCCAGGAAGCAAAAGTAATCCGGAAATCCGGAAATAATTCAAGGAATCCGGAAATCCGGAAATAATTCAAGGAATCCAGGAAAGTCCAAACTTTGGCACTCAACATTCCAGGAATTCAGCGTTTGTTCCCGACAAAGGCCCCTCCCCACAGCGTCTCCTTAAGTGTCAGTCCCCAGGTGTGCCTCGTGAAGAGGGGCGGGGGCGCTCTCCTCCCGAGTGGTTGGGTCAGTCTGCGCTGTTCTCGCCTTCTCTCCGCTCTCCGTGCTCTCGGATCAGGAGGGGGTGGTCCTTGAGCATATCCTGAGCTCTGCCTCTCGTGTTCGCGGCTTACGGCCTCTCTCGGTCGTCCTGTTCATCTTCCTCTGCAGATGTAGTCTCTTGACGGGGACACGACCCTTTGCGTGTTCTTAGGCGAAATGGATTCCCTTCCCGTCCCTTTCAACATCTCAGCTTCGTTTCCCGTGCTGTCACTGGGCTTTTAATTGCGGTTCTTCCTTTGAAAGTTCTGCCCAGCAAGTAGATTTGACGCTATTTGTCTTCTCTCTCTCTCTCTCTCTCTCGGTTTCCTTCCCTTGTTTTTCTTTCAGGGCTTCAACATCAGCCACACGCAAACCCGCCTGCTCTCCATGGCTAAGCCAGTCTACCACGCCATCATGAAGCATTCTCCCAAGAAGCCGGTCATCGTGTTCGTTCCCTCGCGCAAGCAGACCCGGCTCACGGCCATCGACATTCTCACCACCTGCGCTTCAGATGTCCAGAGACACAGGTAGAGTGTTCTGAACCCGGCTCCCAAACACAACCAACCCTCCTGTCTTTAATCGGAGTGCCAGCAGCTCCAGCAAAATAATGTCTGTCTGTCTGTCTCTGTCTCTCCCTCCCTCCCTCACTGCAGGGAGAGACAGACTAACCAGTTTGTCGGGCAGGGGAGATGTATAATAGTTGTCTGGCACATCTATTCCTCTCCCTCCCCTGCCTTTGATCCCCAGAGCTAGGGAGGGGCTGCGCTAGCAGCGGTGGCTCTTCCGTCCCAAGGACCGGCCCATAGATTTCCATGGCTCTCCTCTCCTCTCCTCTGCCTTTTATCTCCAGAGCGATGGGGGGAGCTTTGCTAGCAGCGGTGGCTCTTCCAGCCCAAGGACCAGCCCATAGATTTCCACGGCTCTCCTCTCCTCTGCCTTCTGCTCATCCACGTGTCAGGCACTGGACCCAGCTGGTCCTCCTCTTCCTCATCAGCCACCTCCAGGCCTGGGGGGCTGTTGACTCTCCATCTGAGGGCTGGCAGATGGCCCAGGCTCCACCTCCGTCTCTCTCTCTCTCTCTCTCTGCCGGCTCCGTTCCCTCTTCTCCCTCGGAACTGTCAGGTTACCCTGGCGGCCGACAGGCCACAACACAGACCTGGAAGTGCTTTTGAACTCGACTCCGTTTCCTGCTCCCTTCCTTGCCCGACAGAGTCTGGTCCTTGGGAAAGCCGCCTTCTCCTTCACGGAGGAGAAGCTGGTTAAGATCCGGCTGGCGCAGCCGTTCTGATCTGCCCGTTTTCTCGTCCCGACAGGTTTCTGCACTGCACCGAGAAGGACGTGGCTCCTTACGTGGACAAACTGAACGACAACACCTTGAAGGAGACGGTGGTGAATGGGGTGGGCTACCTCCACGAGGGGCTGACCTCGATGGAACGACGGGTGGTGGAGCAGCTGTTTAGCTCAGGTAAAAAGCGGCGAGGGAAAAGAAAAAAAAAGCCAGACTAACTGAGCCCCAACAAACAGGCCTAACTTGGAAAAAAACAAACAAACTTCAGATTCACAAGGAAACCATTTCATGGATTCAGTGCCTTCTGCTGGAAAGATGAGCTAGTAAACTGTAATATTGCAGTAAGAGGCCACGAGGCAAAGCGTGCTTTTACTTTTCCACCGGGGAAAAAAATAAATTTGCAGAGAAGAATGGAATAGAACGGAATTAGAATAGAATAGAACAGAACAGAGCTGGAAGGGACTTTGGAGGTCTTCTAGTCCAGCCCCCTGCTTAGGCAGGAGCCCCAATACCATTTTAGACAAGTGGTTGTCCAGTCTCTTTTTAAAAACCTCCAGTGATGGACTGGCCACAATTTCTGGTGGCCAGCTGTTCCACTGGTTAATTGTCCTCACTGTTAGGAAGTTTCTATTTAATTCCAGGTTGCTTCTCTCCTTGATTAGTTTCCATCCATTGCTTCCTGTCCTGCCTTCAGGTGCTTTGGAGAATAATTTGATCCCTTCTTTGTGGCTGCCCCTCAAACACTGGAATATTGCTATCCTGTCACCCCTAATTCTTCTTTTCTCTAGACCAGCCAAATCCAAATCCTGCAGCCTATTCTTCAAATGTTTTAGTCCCCAGGCCTTGGATCCTCTTAGTTGCTCTTCTCTGGACTTTTTCCAAAGTCTCAACAAGCTTTTTTGTAGCACTATGACAAAAATTGGATTCTGTGTTCCAGGTGTGGCCTTACTAGCATTTCAGAAAGCGGCACTAATGCTTCATGTGATCTACTAGGGTAGATTTCTTTGCAAGCAGATGAGTGAATGTACCCCTAGGTCAGGAGTCTCCAACCTTGGCCACTTTGAGACTGGTGGACTTCAACTCCCAGAACTCTGGTAGTTGAGGTCCACCAGTCTTAAAGTGGCCAGGGTTGGAGACCCCTGGCCTAGGCGGTTGTTTCGGTTCTAGACTGTTCCTCCTTGGTGATTTCTCCTTAGGGGCCATCCAGGTGGTGGTGGCTTCACGGAACCTCTGTTGGGGAATGAACTTAGCTGCTCACCTGGTGATCATCATGGACACGCAGTACTACAACGGGAAGATCCACGCGTGAGTGAAGGGTCCTGGGGAGGAGTTGTCTGGAATCGCCAATAAGCGGGTTGCAGTTTGGGGTGCGATGGGGGAAATTAAGAGGGAGTTGGAATTGGGTTGGGTTGACTTTGGGGTGAGGTTCTTAACTGACCGGCTTGTGAATTGTTCCCCTGGTGGCAGGTACGTGGACTATCCAATCTACGATGTCCTACAGATGGTGGGCCGTGCTAACCGCCCCTTGCAGGATGATGAAGGACGCTGTGTTATTATGTGCCAGGGGTCCAAGAAGGTGAGCAAAGATGGGAAGAGGGTAGATTCCTCTGCTGCTTAACAACTGGGGCTCCTAAGACTTGAGGTCCTTCTAGCATTGAAGAGCTTTCTGGCTGAGTGGCCACAATCTCAGCATTGTGGGGTCCTGATATTTTGCCAGCCACTTTGGTTGGCGTCTTCAGGGGCAGAGTTAGCTGCTAAGGACTTCTCAGTAACTCACAATCAATGAACAGGAACTATCTGGACTCTAGTCTAGGGGAGAGAAGGACCAGGGGAGACAGGAGAGCAGTCTTCCAATATTTGAGGGGCTGCCACAGAGAGGAGGAAGGGGTCAGGCTATTCTCCAAAGTACGTTTGAAGGCCAGACAAGGAATAATGGATGGAAACTGAACAAGGAGAGATTCAACCTGGAAATAAGGAGGAATTTTCTGACAGTGAAAACAATCAACCCGTGGAACTGAAGTTGCCTTCGGAAGTTTCGGGAGCTTCATCCCTGGAGGCTTTCAAAAAGAGACTGGACTGCCCTCTGTCAGAAATGGTGTGTAGGGTCTCCTGCTTGGGGTTGGACTGGATGACCTACAAGGTCCCTTCCAACTCTTGTTAATCTGTTAGATCTGTTAGTCTTTGAGCTGCCAAGGTTGGACACCCCTGAGTTACATTATGAACCTCAGAAGTCTAAGGGAGAGAAGGACCAGGGGAAACATGAGAGCAGTCTTCCAATATTTGAGGGGATGCCACAGAGAGGAGGAAGGGGGTCAAGCTATTTTCCAAGGCACCCAAAGGCCAGACAAGAAATAATAATGGATGGAAGCTGATCAAGGAGAGATTCAACCTGGAAATAAGGAGGAATTTTCTGACAGTGAGAACAATCAACCCTTGGAACAGAAGTTGCCCTCGGAAGTTGTGGGAGCTTCAATCCTGGAAGCTTTCAAGAAGAGACTGGACTGCCATCTGCCAGAAATGGTTCAGGGTCTCCTGCGTGGGTGGGGGGTTGGACTAGATGACCTACAAGGTCCCTTCCACCTTTGTTCATCTGTATTTGAATTTAGCAAGGTGCTCTCCGATTGCTCCCAGAGTTCAAGGAAGTTAGTTCCTTATCTGGATGGACTTTTGATTGATTTGTTTTTGAAGAAATTCCACGAGAACCAGTTCTTGGTGGGTCCTTGAACCTGGCTGTTGATTGGTTCTTTAGGTAGATGGATTTCTAACCTGTTTTCGGAGAATGTCAAAGTGATCTTATTCCTGATTGGCTTGTGTTTGAGACAGGATTTTTTTGGGGGGTGGCAGGTGGGTGGTGAAGCTGCTGCAGGTTCTTCTTATGCTACCTCCAGATTAAATAGCCCTCAAATCATTGAAAATATCAGAAAATTAGATCCTTCCGGGCATTCAGCCTGAAAGCTCAGCCCTACTTGATTAACTCTGGCTTGCAAAAAAAAACCCTACACCCTTGGTGCAAACCTACAGTGGGTGGATGTGGGGGATCCTTCATTGATTTTGCATGTTGTGTTGGCGTGGTTTGTTCAGAGCAGGTTCTTCTCTTCTGGAACGGTTTTCTCCTAATTTTAAGCAGGCCATTTCCCCCCCCCCCCCCCCCGCCCCCAAACGCTAACTATCATTCTGGCTCTTCCCTTCCAGGATTTCTTCAAAAAGTTCCTCTACGAGCCCCTTCCGGTGGAGTCTCACCTCGACCACTGCATGCACGATCACTTCAATGCCGAGATTGTCACCAAGACCATTGAGAACAAGCAGGACGCGGTGGACTACCTCACCTGGACCTTCCTGTACCGCCGGATGACCCAGAACCCCAACTATTACAACCTCCAAGGTGAAAGGGACGCTGTCCCAATCTTCCTGGTGTCAACTGATCAGATATTTCTATGGTCTTTTCAGAGTTGCCCGCAGAAAGGGAGGGGGCAGAGAAGCATGGCCATCAAAAGTCCATTCCAGAAATAGTTTTGGGAGGATGCCAGGAACTCTGATAACAGCAGCCCACGTTAGATAATCCCAAGGTTTGTTCCCGACAAACGGCCCTCCCAACTGGTTCTCCTTTAAACTCCCTTCCCAGGTGTGCCTTGTGAAGGGAATCAGGGCCCTTTCCTCCCCCATAAGCCACGCCAACCACATTGCTCCCTCTTCCGTTCCTCCCTGTGTGCCCTAGATGAAGAGGGATGGGTGGGCCTTGGTCTTCATCTAAACCCCCTCTCCCTTGTTCTACGTCTTCCCTGCTCTGCCCAGCCTGACTTCCTCCCGAGCCGACGGAGCCTCTCTCCGGCGGTTCATCTGACGGCTGTTCATCTTCCTTCTCGGAGTCAGACTCCGACGGGGGGGCATGACGTCGATGGTTTAAGCCTCCCAATCCTTTTAATGTGTCAGTTCATGTCAGAAAACATTCTTAAGCCCTGCTGCAGCACGTAGACCTGGTTCCTCGCCTGTATCTAGTCTGTGTCAACTCGTAAAATATTTCTGGAGGTGCCAACAGAAAGGGAGGGGGGAGCAGTGCGGCAGCTCACAAACCGAAACTGCATCCCATAAATAGTTTTCCAAAGATTGTAACGGGATGACTGAAGTTTCTGCCTTGCAAAATTCTAACTGGGGAGCATGATTGATGACTCTGAGCTATGGAGGTGTCCCATTGGAGAATATGGATTACGGCACACCCAGGGAAACGGAGGGTCAAGGGTGACAATGAATAGTGTGTCTCAGAGTCAGCTGCACCCAGGCAGTGCCGGCATGTTAACTCCCAATAAATCCTTTTTAGGTTTTGGAAGTTTGGCTCGAGACTCATGATTTAAAATGAGATTAAGTGATGGAATCCTAACACCTGGATTCCTCTCCCTGCCTGCTCCCCCCACCCCACCCCACCCCCACCCCCAGACCCATTCCAGGCAGCTCCTGGGCAGTTTCCCAGCCACTCCAGACGTGCAGCAGCTCCTGACTTTCGATCTGTTCCTCTGCCCAGGTGTGTCCCACCGTCATCTCTCCGATCACCTTTCTGAGTTGGTGGAGCAAACCCTGAGCGACCTGGAGCAGTCCAAGTGCATCAGTGTGGAAGATGAGATGGACGTGGCGCCTCTGAACCTGGGCATGATCGCAGCTTATTACTACATCAACTACACCACCATCGGTATAATGGGTCTTGGGGGGGGGGGGAGAGAGAGAGAGAGAGAGAGAGGTGGCGGTGGCGGTGATGGTGTCGTGTCCGTCGCTGCCACGGCCTCCAGCCTTGTTGCTCGGTGTGTGATGCAGCTTCCCTTGCTTTCTAGAACTCTTCAGCATGTCCCTGAACGCCAAGACGAAAGTGAGGGGCCTGATTGAAATCATCTCCAATGCTGCAGAATATGAGAACATTCCTATTAGACACCACGAGGACAACCTCTTGCGGCAGGTAAGGGAATAATCCTCTCTCTCTCTCGCTCTCTCTCTAGTTTGTGCCAGTGTACGGTCGTCTATGATGCTTAGAAGCCCCCCCCCCTTTTTTCCTTTTCCAGCTGGCCCAGAAAGTGCCCCACAAGCTGAATAACCCCAAGTTCAACGACCCCCACATCAAAACCAACCTCCTTTTGCAAGCGCATTTGTCGCGGATGCAGTTAAGCGCCGAGCTCCAATCGGACACCGAGGAGATTCTGAGCAAGGTACAAGCGTCAACTCATAGAATGTTTCTACAGTCTTTTTAGAGTTGCCAACAGAAAAAGGGAGAGGGGAAGCAGTGCAGCAGCTTGGAAATCGAAAGTGCATTCCATAAATAGTTTTGCAAAGATAGTAACTAGGTGGCTGAAGTTTCCGCCATGCAAAATTCCAAGTGGAGAGCATGATTGATGACTCCGGGCTATGGATGTGTCCCATTGGAGGATATGAATTAGGATACACCCAGAGGTGTGTGTGTGGGGGGGAAACCAGGGTCAAGGGCGACAGTGAATGATGTGTCTCAGAGTCGGCTGCACCCAGGCAGTGCTGGCATGTTTACTCCCAATAAATCCTTTGAAAGTTTGGCTCGAGGCTCATGATTTAAATGGGGGGGGAACTGCTGAGATCCTGACAACCAGAACAGGTGGGGGGGGGGGAGGGGGGGGGGGGGGATGGCCAGGTCCCATGTGGCACGGCCTTGCCTCTCCGGGTCTGCCCGGAGGAGCATGGGCTCACCGGGCAATTCAGCGGGGGCTCCACCCAGGCACCCTCAAGCCGATCCTTTGCCGTTCTCAGGCCATCCGGCTGATCCAGGCCTGCGTGGACGTCCTCTCCAGCAACGGCTGGCTGAGCCCCGCCCTGGCGGCCATGGAGCTGGCCCAGATGGTCACGCAAGCCATGTGGTCGAAGGACTCTTACCTGAAGCAGCTGCCGCACTTCACCTCCGAGAACATCAAGCGCTGCACGGAGAAGGTGAGCGCAGGCGCGCGGGCTCCGCCCTTCCAGCTCGGTGGGCGGGGGGGGTGGAGCAGTGGAGCCATCTGGGACGAGGGCGCGGCAGGCCTTCCCAGAGGGAGAACGGAGCGCCCGGTTGCACGAGTATTTAAAAGAAAAGAAAATCAAACCAAGCCATTTATTTAGAAAGATTTATATCCAGCCTGCCTGAGCGAGGTCTCTGGGCTGGGCTGGCCGGCTGACTGTGCTGTAAAAGTAGCCAACCTACTGGGAAGGGGTGAGGGGTTTTCAAGGGCTGCGTTTGGCCGAAAGTCTTTCGAGCTGCTTTTTGTCTTTCTTGAGGAATAATTGAGAACCAGGGAGGGGCCCAACTTAGGCAAATAGCCCTTGGACTTCTATACCGCTTCCTGGGGCTTTTACCGCTCTCTCTAAGCGGTTTACAGAGTCAGCCTCTTGCCCCCAACAATCTGGCTCCTAATTTGACCCACCTCGGAAGGATGGAAGGCTGAGTCAACCTTGAGCTGAACGGGATCGAACTCCTGGCAGTGGGCAGAGTTTGCCTGCCCTGCTACGCTCTTAACTAGTACGACACCAGGAAGGAGAAGGAGAAAAGGAATAAGAAGAAGGGAAGGAAAGGAAAGGAGAAAGGAAAAGAATAGCCCGTAGACTTATATACCGCTTTACAGCCCTCTCTTAAGTGGTTTACAGAGTCAGCCTCTTGCCTCCCGACAATCTGAGCCCCCATTTTTACCCCCCTGGGAAGGATGGAAGGCTGAGTCAACCTGGAGCCTGATGAGATTCAAGCGGCCAAACTGCAGGCAGTCAGCAGAAGTAGCCCACCCTACTGCACTCTGACCAGTGTGCCACCCCAGCCCATGTCCCTAGAGCCCCTTTCGGGGCCGTTTTTGGAAGCAGGCCCTCCCAAAGAGTGGCGCATCTCCCTCATTCAAGTCGCTCTGTCCCCAGAGGAGGGGACCGCTTTATTCCAGAGCGTGCTGCAGACCGCTTGTGGTCCAGAGTAGTTATTAAATCAGGAACTTCGTGACTGGCCCCAGAGCGACAGCTACCTGTGGGTAGTTCACCCGGCTTCCTTCTGCCGTTGCCCCCCCAAAAAGCAAAGGGCTTGAAGAAACACCCCCAGAGGTGGAACCGCAAATGCCTCCCCATTGATCCTGAGGTGTGTGTCAGCTGCTTGTGTGTGTGTGTGTGTGTCTTTCAATGACACCGTAACCCGGAAGCTTTTCCCCTTGGGGGTGGGGGGCTGCCAGCACCTGCTCACCCCCAACCCCGCCCCGCCTGTCCTTTCCTGCAGGGCGTGGAGAGCGTGTTTGACATTATGGAGATGGAAGACGAGGAACGCAACGTCCTGCTCCAGCTCTCCGACACCCAGATTGCCGACGTGGCTCGCTTCTGCAACCGATACCCCAACATCGAACTCTCCTACGAGGTGGTGGAGAGGGAGAGCATCCGCAGGTAAGGCAGCGGCCCGGAAGGTGGCAAGAGGAAGGCTTGCGGGGCGACGCGGCCACACTGGAAGTTGTGAAGAAGAGATTGCACAACCGTTTGTCTGAAATGGTAGAGGGTTTCCTGCCTGAGAAGAGTTGGACTAGAAGACCTCTAAGGTCCCCTCCAACTCTGTTCTTCTCTTCTCTTCTCTTCTCTTCTCTTCTCTTCTCTTCTCTTCTCTTCTCTCCTCTCCTCTCCTCTCCTCTCCTCTCCTCTCCTCTCCTCTTCTCTTCTCTTCCCTTCCCTTCCCTTCCCTTCCCTTCCCTTCCAGAAGAGCCTGAAATGCTTTGGGCTTTCTAAGACTTTTTCTCTAATAGCTTTCAGGTTCTCCCTTTTTAAAAAAATTAAATAAAAATAAATGGGGCATTCAGAGGCTCCTTCTCTGCCTTCAACTCTTTCTGTGAGAGCCGGTTTGGGGTCGTCGCTAAGGCATGTGGCTAAAAACGGGGAGATTGCCAGTTCTAGTTCACAAAGCCAGCTGGGGTGACTTGGGGCCAGCAAACCCCCCCACCCCCCTCTTAGCCCTTGGGAAGCAGGTAATAGCAAACCACTTTGGGTCACCTTGTCGAGAGAACTGCAGGGTGACGTCCAGGAGTCGAGACCGACTCGAAGGCACCAATTAAAAAAAAAAACTGGGATAGGATTCCATGCTGGAAGCTGCCCTGGTTTTAGTAGATCTGTCGATCCTTCAACCTGTTGCTTGTGCTGGACTGGGAAGGGAGCGAAGGCTGTAAACAGTAGAGGGGGCGGGGCGGAAAAAACATGTGAATCTCCTGGCTTTGTTCCCCCAGTGGAGGCCCTGTGATTGTGCTGGTGCAGCTGGAGCGAGAGGAGGAGGTAACCGGGCCCGTGATCGCCCCGCTGTTCCCACAGGTAAGTTGGGGGTCCCGGGAGAAAGGTCCTGGGAAGCCGGTGAACGATTCAGCTTCGGGGTGAGGCCGGGTTGGGGCCCTGGCGGCTGCCAGCAGAGCCAGGCGAGTCGGGAGAGCCTGGGCCAGCTCCGGAGCCTATGGAAGTCTCGGATGAGGAGGCAGAGCTGGGGGCCCCGTCTGTCTGTCTGTCTCCAAGGGCCCGTTGGGGCTGAGTGGACCCCGTTGTCGCCCGCTCCCACGTTGTCCTCTCGGCTGCTTCCTCCCTTGCAGAAACGTGAGGAAGGCTGGTGGGTGGTGATCGGCGACTCCAAATCCAACAGCCTCATTTCCATCAAGCGACTGACGCTGCAGCAGAAGGCCAAGGTACGACACTCCCGCTTGCGCGACAGCCTTGACGGTGGTTCTGACCCGGCTCCCCAAACACAACAAACCCTCTGCGGTTAAGTCAACGATTCCTTTATCGGGAGCGCCAGCAGCTCCGGCGAAACGTTTCTCACCGCGGCTTAACGAGTCCACCTGGGAGGGAGATTAATAGGTGAACCCCAACCCTTTGGCAGGCAAGCTCCGTTCCTTGCGGTGCCGCCCCTCCGAACCAGGTTCCTTCTTCTCAAAACCCAATTCTTTTAACGCTGTTTAGGTGAAACTGGACTTTGTGGCTCCAACCACCGGGACACACAACTACACCCTCTACTTCATGAGCGATGCCTACATGGGCTGCGACCAAGAGTACAAGTTCAGTGTGGACGTCAAAGAGGCAGAGAGCGACAGCGAGTCCGACTGAGGGACAGGCCGGCCATCATCCTTGGGGACGGACCTTCTTGGTAAAGCCACCATGGACTTTCTTGGAGCAGATAACCAAGGTGATGCTTCGGTGATGTTCTCAGTTCTTCTGATTCCCTGCATCGGAATTAAGCCTCAGCCAACAGGTGTCAGAAGGGACTTCCACCTTTTTCTTCTTCCTGCCACCATCTTTTGAGTTTTTTTTTCCTTTTTTTTTTTTTAAATCTCAGCAAAACAAGCCGCAGCTTTTATGTACCATGTTTGGAGTAAATGAGCCGAATTGATTGTTAATTTTCCAAAATAAAACTTCCAGGAACTAACTCGGCTCATCTTTTGGCGGGAGAGCAGTCCAAGTGAAGACAGTTGTTAGAGCCGTGGTGGTGGTGCAGGAGTTGGAAGGCAATATTGCAGGTAGACTCTGCCCGCCGCCAGGAGTTCGATCCTGATCAGCACCAGGTTGACTCAGGCCTCCCGTCCTTCTGAGGTCGGTAAAATGAGGAGGCAGATTGTTGGGAGGCAAGAGGCTGACTCTAAACTGCTTAGAGAGGGCTGTAAAAGCTCTATGAAGTGGTATATAAGTGCTCTTCCCTCTCTTATTCCCTTTCTCCTTCCTGGTGCCTCGTGCTTAGAAGGCAGTATTGCAGGCTCACTCTGCCCACTGCCAGGAGTTCAATCCTGACTGGCTCACAGTTGACTCAAGCTGTCCGTCCTTCCGAGGTGGGTAAAATGAGGACTCAGATTGTTGGGGGCAAGAGACTTGACTCTGTGAACAACTTGGAGAGGGCTATAAAAAACTGTGAAGTGGTGTATAAGTCTTAAGTGGTATATATTTGTTCTGCATGTTCCTTGATGCCCTTACAGTATCCCAAATTCCCACACTACATGGATTTGCATTTTCTTGCACATGAATTGTATAATCGTTGCCATTCATTATCTGGTGTAAATGTAGAATCTCCCTTTTTTAAAAAAAACAATCTCAATTGCAGGAGCTTAAATGTAGTCTTGCCCTCCTCTGAATGAAGTCTTCCTCCACGAGAGGGAGGTCTAAATAAGGAAGCTGCAAGCACCCTTTTTCTTCTAAATATGACAAAATTATTCCTCTAAGCTGTGTTCCATTAGCAAAAATTAATTCTTTGCAGGTCGCAGATTTTGTAACACGTTTTCCGTATTCTGCCTGTGTCAATTTTAACAGAATTCAGAGTTCCGGGACGCCAAGTAGGCAGGATTTACAATGCTGATGGCTGCTGAAAGTGGAATCTCTTTAGGCTTTTTTTGGGGGGGGGCGACTCTTAACAGCTCTTTCGTAATAAAAGGGTGAACAGACGCCGCTGGGTTTGAAACAAAAAGCTGCTTGTAATACTTGGAAAAGTGGCAAGAACTCCATTAATGAACCGATTTGAGGAAGTGAAGCCTGTCGGGAAGTTGAACAGCTGCCAGATGGGAAATTGTAAAGTACAGATGGAGTAACCACGGAGCTATTATTTAGAGTGCAGGGGAGGAGACGAGACCCTCGGAGTTAACAGCCGTGCGTTGCCAAAATAGGAAACCAGCTAATGGGGCTTAGGAAGGGGAACAGCTTCAGGGATGTGTCTGCGTCGAAGGAAGGTGAAGCCAGAGAAATGTGCAGATGATTCAGCCACTTCAGTAATTCATCATGCAAGCAGCTGTTGTTTTGCTCCAACGAGTAGGCATCGATGGAAGAAATGCTACGTTAATGCTACGTTAAATGGAAGAAATGTTAAGGGGAACGTAGTGCCAGGGAACAAAAGATCAGGGAACTAATTGCAAGTGAATAATTGAGGGACACAAGAGGACTTTGGTAAAATTATCTTGATTTTTATAGCCAGGCCATCATGCAGATCTCTTCCCCCCTCCCTCCCTGGTGTGTTTAGATCAAACCCACCTTTTTGGCTTCGTAGTTGGCCAAAGGTAAGTCACTACTGGGACATAACCAGCAGGTAGCCATAGCCCTTAGACTTCTGTACCACTTCCCAGCCCTCTCGAAGCGGTTTACAGGGTCAGCCTCTTGCCCCTCAACAAATCTGGGTCCTCATTTTACCTACCTTGGAAGGATGGAAGGCTGAGTCAACCATCAGCCAGTCAGGATTGAACTCCTGGCAGTGGGCAGTTAGCCTGCAATACTGAATTCTAAGCACTGCAGCACCATGAAGGAGAAAGAGAATAAGAAAGAGAATAAGAGGAAGGAAGGAAGGAAGGAAGGGAGGAAGGGAGGGAGGGAATAAGAAGAAGGGAGGAGGGAGGGAGGGAAGGAAGGAAGGAAGGAAAGGAAAGGAAAGGAAAGGAAAGGAAAGGAAGAGCACTCAAACTTATACACGGCTTCACCGTGCTTTCCAGCCCTCTCTTAGCAGTTTACAGGGCCAGCCTCTGTCCCCCAACAAGCTGGGTCCACATTTTACTCACCTGGGAAGGAGGGAAGGCTGAGCTAACCTTGAGTCCACGAGGATCGAACTGCTATCAGTGGGCAGTGAATCAGCCTGCAATACTGCATTCTAACCACTGGGCCACCACGAGGGCAGACTCTCTCTCTCCACATCCCCATAGCGTGTTGTTTTCCACTAAGAGCTTCCACTTGAGCACATTAGATTGACACGTAGACATTCCCAAGTCATCCCTCCAGGTGTGGAACATACAAAAGCTAGCAGGCTTCCCAGCACACCTGACTATTCCGTCCTGGGGAAGCAAGCTGAATCGACTTGCCCGGAGGAAACTGTCAAGTGAGCGTGAGGGGGTGTCTGTTTCTAATACATTTGTCCACTGTCAGGAGTTCAAAAGAGGCGGGGAAGGAGAAGCTCTTAAGAAATCTGCATTGTGATTTTTCTCTACTTGTCGCGGGTTTGTCTTCCCGCTGGAAAGAAGCTGGATGGGTTTGCGGGAACCGCAACGTGCCGGGGAAAAAAAGAAAATCAGATGATTGGAACGGTGAATGCAGCTATTATTTCAATGGATGAGAAAGAACATGGATGATAATAAGGTGAAGGAAATGATGAAAAAGTTGGTCCCCATCGGGTCATTCAGGAGTGAAAAATAATTGATTTTAGAGATGATTGTTCTTAAAAATGAAATGGGAAGTGGAGAAAAACTAGGTGCCCATCATAAACGGGGGGAAAAAAAGAATCCCGAAGAAAGACATTCCTTGGCAAAAAAAACCCCAAACCTTGTACTATCAATCCTGCCCTTTGAAATTCCTCCTTCCCATCTTCCTCCAGCCTCTCTCTTTCCTTTTCCCCCCGAGAGAGAAATCTTTTGTGTTTTCCCTAGCCACCATGGGGAAGCTATAGCTTAATAAAGCAGCCAAGGTGTACAACAGGTGTTCTACTTTATTCATTTTGTATAGATGTCCAAATCACAGCTCCTTTCCCTTGCCTGGTTTTGTTAAGGAGGAACCAATATTTCAAGCTTACGATTTCACTTACTCGGAAGCCAGCGTGGAAGGGAGGAGAACGCTTTTCGAGGTTCCCCGTGGGCCTACCTTCAAATTCCCCCCTTTAGTGCAGTCCGCTCTGGCAATACCCTGGGATCCGTATCAGAGAACAATCAAGATTCCCTTTCAGTTAAATCCAGTGTTTTCCTCTGCTAGATAGTGGGGAACTGCAGTTCTTCGGCAAGGATGGAAACAGCGACCACATATCCATTTGTAGGAGGCTTAGCTGGGGTTTTTTTTTTCCAGGGGGGGTGGGTGGGATCTATGCTTGTGAACCCCACCCTGGAGACAAGAAGATACTCAGCAGGTCTCTGGGCGCTGGTACCTCCAGAAGGCCATTTCTCCATCGTCGCTGCACGAAGCCAGCAAGCCCAGCTCTTTGGGGTTCCAGGCAACACAATTCACGTCCTGAGAGTGGGCTCGGGCCACGTGGGCAGCCAAGGAGAAGGTGGGCTGATGAGGGTCTGAGAGGGGCTCCTCCTCAAACACCCGGATGGCGTCGTCCCCACAGGCGGTGGCTAAGGCGCCTGTCAGGTGGCACCTGCCAAGAATTTGGAAAAGAAAACAATTCCACCTTAGGATTAGATGGCTCAGAACGTCGCGGGGCTTTTGAAAGAGAAGCTGATCGTGAAATGCCTCCCTTTTTACGATGTAATCCCTTAATTCGGGGTGGGGTGGAACTGAGCATTTACTGGCCGGGTGCCCTTCCTGATGCCTATGTGGAGTTCACAGCAAATATATATATATATATACATTTCCCGCCCTAGGAGAGGAAAGATCTGCTGCTACCTAGGGTTGATCTCTCAACCTTCCAAGTGGAAGGTGAGCGTCTTCACCACTGGGCCATCGTGCCACACAAAGAGGTGAGCTTGGAGGTCTTCTAGTCCAACCCCCTGGTCAAGCAGGAGACATGCAAATCGAGAGAAGTGGCTGTCCTGTCTTTTCTTAAAAGGCCTCCGGTTACCCCCTTTCGTTCCTGCAATTTCTGCCAGGACGACGGGCAGCATGCACGATTCATATTTATAGGGAGAAGGATCAATTGATTTTATAAATGGGATGCCTGTTTATTTTCCAGGCCACTAGATTAAGCAGGGGTGGCTTAGCTTTGTTCTTCTTGCGGTCCTACCCTAATATAGAAGGTGGCTTCTTGCCGGTTTATTAGAGATGCAGCTGTTCTTTTTCTGTGCTTTGGTGGGGAAGGTTAAGAGGTAAAAATTAGTGTCTTAAGACAACTATAAGATAGTAGCTAAAACATCTTTATCCAAAGATGCTGCAAAGAGGCAGAGTTTGGCTTTGATTGTAGGAATCAAGAATAGTCGCAAAACTTAAAATGTTCCACAGTGGAAAACAGCTTTCACGGACCAACATTTCTCTGTAGAGAAGCACTTAAAAAGTTGTGCTATTCCTTCATCCACAACGGTGCGCGACCTGCAAAACACCCCCACAGGAACCCGTCCTCGACACAGATCTCGGCTTGTCCCGGGACACTCTGGGTGGGAAGCCTCTCCACTTACCATGCCACGTCGTAGACGGTCCGCGTGTGGAAGCCAGAGAGGGTGCAAACGCACTTCCAAATGGGATCGGGACCGCTACAGGCCACACCTGAAACACACAAGGGAGTTCCTTACGCTGCTGCCCCTTGGCTCCGCTGCAGGAGCTTCAGGCTTCTTTGGAGGGAGGGGAGGTTTAAATTAGAGAGGTCCAATCAAGGGTTTGGGGGTGGGTGGGTGTTGAGGAATAGTTGCTGGGATAGAAAATACGATTGGGTGGGAAGGGGGATGCGGTGG